AGAGGTCCATGTCTTTCCTGTGCTGAGGGCTCCAGAGCTGGACACAGGACTCCAGGTGGGGTCTCACCAGAGTGGAGTAGAGGGGCAGAATCCCCTCCCTCAACCTGCTGGCCCGCTGCTTTGGATGCAGCCCAGGATGTGGTTGGCCTTGTGGGCTGTTAGCGCACATTGCTGGCTCATGTCCAGCTTTTCATCCACCAGTCCCCCCAAGTCGTTCTCGACAGGGCTGCTCTCGATCCCTTCATCCTCCAGCCTGTATTGATTCTGGGGGGTGCCCCAACCCAGGTGCAGGACCCTGCACTTGGCCTTGTTGAACCTCATGAGGTTCACACGGGTCCATTCCTCGAGCTTGTCCAAGGTCCCAAGTCTGGCATCTACTGTGTAGTGACCTCTGATCCTGCCTACCCAAGGCTGTCCGTACTGGCCCAGGTAGATCTGCTCACCATGTTCAGGTGTTGTAAAGAGATGCAGAGACACAGAAAAGGCATCAGAAGAAAAAAGCCTTTGTTAGAATGTAAAACCCATGGGTATGCCAACATGCTACTTACCAAAAAGCTCCTAGGCATAAATTAAAACCTGGAAAATTAAATAAATCCAATTCTGGAAAAGCATGGCTTTCTGTTTTTCCCCTTGACACAGCCTTCTAACACAAGTCTGCAAATCTTCAGTGATACTCACTCAGGTAAGTTAGATGTAAAAAAATCATTTAATATACACCCAAAGTGTGTTTTTGATGTGCCTACAAAAATATGACAAATACCTAAGAAAAAACAGTGTTTGTTTACAGATGTATGTATGACTTACAAGTATACATCTGAAATGAGTAATTTCTTCATTTCAACAAGTATGGCTTTGTCTAACTACGACTCCACTTCAATAATACAAAAATGTATTAAGTCATTGACCACTTAGTGGACAGTCTTTACATATACGAAATCTGAAAGTTTTGCTTTCAGCATTTAAAGCTGTTACTTGTTATTTAATTGAGCTATCAGTCACTAAAAATGTTTCATTTGCCTTTTTTTTTTAATTTTCTTTACTGGGATGAGTATTGCTTTTATTATCCTGTGTACAATTGCCAAGCAAATTATTTCAATGAGTGCCTCTTACACCTTAACAGAAGTAAGTACACTGCTTAAGTCCATGATTTTTTCTTTTCAAGCTCTTTTATTTCTCCTATATAGATATAGAAGTGCAAATTCTCTCTAGTAAAAGTAGTTTTAAAAAACAATGTCTGCGTTATTTCTGTCACGGAAACTCCTGTTCTGCAAGGCAAACTTTCTTAGATAATACCAATTTCCTACAACTACAGAAAGGATATTTTCTTCCTGCAAGCAGACAGAAATGCAATGTATGCGTCAGGGCACACTGTGTTCTATGCACTTCTTAGTATATTATACACACTCTGTGTATTGTAGCTCTTAGCTACATGTTCCATCTTTATAACTAAAACTGCTTAATGAAAATGTCTGTTGACTGAAACTTAACACAAGGCCTTAAGTTCAGTCGCAGTCTATCCGCTCACAGTCCAATGATATACAACAATGAAACCCACCTACATTTTGGCACGGGGGATACCGAACAAGAAAAGAGAGAACAGGCGAACTCAGCTCCTTCTGTTGCAGGGCCATCAAAGCCTGTCCCCATGTGATATCCCTTCTGCTGTTGAGTCCATCTTCCTTTTGCCTTTCATTTTGCTAGTATGAGAAATTTTCAGAGACATGGCTCTCGGAGGTCCCATTCTTACAGCTATGTCCATAAGAAGATGTCTGGAGAGTCAGTCATTCTTCCCATGTTACTGGTTGATGTTCTGGACACAGAAAAACAGGACAGTGCAATTGTTCAAATACTTACAAATAAGGTTATAATGCTTCAATAACAGACACTGCCTGCAGATCCACTCTCTTCAGGGGCCTTACCAGCAGAATCTTTGCCCATTTGGATTATTTTTTAGCACTTCCCAGTATAATCAAAAACTAAAATAAAAAATACTTAGTGTTTACTAAAGGAGGTTGTTCCATAGCTCTCTAAAAAAAAGGATCATTGTTGTCTTTTTAGACTGTAGTCAGAAGTATAATACTCGGCATTATTTTAGATTAAATCTTTTAAATTTTCTTTTACTGGCTTACATTCTGCTTTGGCATTTTGAGCTAACAGGTTGCCTCTTAGGCTTTAGTTCCCACAATACAATGACTATAATGCAAGTTGAAGGAATAACTGCATTTGCAACCCTGCTACTGTTTTTATTTGCTCTGAAAACAAAAGTAAGTATTATTAATGGATTAGGTAACAACAAATAATCTAAGCTGTCATGATTTTAATGACAGCTTTATATGTTTTTATCAAGTTGCTCAATTTCTACTAGTTCTGTTTGCAATGCTTACAGTAAAATTGAGCAGTCTGTGCTGGAAACTGTTAAACTACCAGGACTGATCCTGCTCTCCCACAAATCTCTGTCCCAGCTTCATTGTTCTTTCCACAGGCTTGCTATACAAAGGCCAAGAGAAGTCAAAACATGTAAGTGGAATGTATTGTATTTCAAAACAGGTTTTTCTCATTAACATATTACCATTTACCTGTTCCTTCCTTAGCACCTCTCTTGGAAACACAGATGAGTATCAATAGGAAGGCAGCAGCAGCTGGAAGTCAGTTTAAGAAGTTAACAAAAACAGAATTAGAAATCAATTAAATACGTCTTATGGAGTTATTCAGCTTATTAACAGACCAGGCAAAGGAGCAAAAACTTAACTCAGCTGCAGTAATTTCAGGATTTATCATTATGCATGTCACTGATGTTAGTTTATTAATCACCATCCCTAACAACACTTAATTTTAGGGGGTTCAAAATGTGTTGTCCAACCACAGCTAAAGACAGCCTCACTGTGTTTGGTGTCCTCAGGAAACCCTGACAAGCATGACCGTATCAATCACCTCAAGCATTCTGTGGATTATCGGGGCAACAGTTTGTGTCCTTATAAATTCATACGTAAGTGGTCTACTTGACGTGCATTTGTTAGATACACTGACGTAAATTAGCCCATATTGCACAGTACCTGTAATTCACTCTGTCAGGGGTAGTACCAGCAGCTTCCTATCACACTGCAGCACACAAAATAAAAATGTTTAAATGCAGAGCTCCTTCTCTGTATTAGGGAGTCTGGCAAAAATTGTTAGAATACAAGTTTTATGTTTAACCAGCTCACGCGTAATTTTTTTTCCTGTGTGATTTTTTTCCTATTTCATTCCCTAATGCATGGCAAGATCAGACAGATAAAGAAGATATTTAAAGTTCCTGTGGGTTGTCTTATAAGAAAAAAAGTGAAAACCTCGTGGACTGTAGAGAAAGGAGAGGAGGGAAAACATTTGATTGAAGGGAGTCACTCCGGTTACCGTAAATCTCTCTTAAGATTCATTATTTTTACTTTTGGTGTGCATGTTAATTTAATAAAAACAAGTCAGCAAACCAGAAATATAGAGGAGGTAAAGAGAAAGGAGGAAGGCCAGGAGTGAGCTCACCTTAGGATTAAGTACTGCAACATGCTGAATGTGGGGACACATCTCAAATGTGTGTAGCAACGGAAGTTATTTGACGATTAACTCTGTATTAGCACTATACTGCTAATTTTGAAACATTTTGCGCATTTTGAGCTATTGACCGTATTCCTCAAATTTAGCACCTACTCCCTTAAGGTTGACTATTTTTCATGTACTTGAGGAGGGCAGGCTGAGGCTGCAGACTAAAAGAAACGTATCATCTGGTCATGGGTCCCACTATATGAAAAATTGTCAATACCCGAAACTTTCAAAATATATTTCTTCTTAAATCAAAGCTTTTCATGAAGTTAAAATGTAAATCTAGCACAACTTTTATAGACTTTCATACAAGATACTAAAGTTGATTTGGGGCTTCTGGGTGCTATGGTCACATAATATGTCTCCCAAAAAAGCTGAAAAAAATCTGTAAATCCAAATTTTAGGCCACTTCATAGGCAGCAGGAACCACTCACCCCAGGGAATTCAGGCCACCTAAGCACTCTAAGCTCCATAGTGTTTGGAGATGACTGGCTTGTAAAAAGTTTAGTGCAGAAAACTTTAACATTGGCATTTTAGTATGTGGCATTTTTCCCATTCTATTTAAATATTTTCATTGGTATACTGAGACTTTCAATATATAAAATTAGTTTTTATTTCCCTTAGTAAATGTTTGGGGATTTTTTCATTTGAATTGTTTGAGGATTTTTTTCCTTACCATCAGTGATTGCAAAGGCTGAAAAAACAATTCAAAATCGATTTTAAGAGACCAAGCTAACACACACACAAATAGTAACAACGTGAAACTTGCATCATACGTCAGCGTTGGCTGGCTCAGGAAATGAAGATGCATTCCTGCCATGATGATGCCAGGATGGCAAAGCCAAACAACATTAGTTTTTCAACCTGCATCCAGCTTTCAAATAAATTTATCCCCTTATATAAGCAAAGTTTAGCAGGAAGCTATATAGGTCCATGTTTTAGATTCAGCTGAACAAAATTCCCTTAAAAGGTTACTGTTTATTAAACAGAGTACAGCCATATGGATGACTGATTTGTCTTCTTCAGACTAAAACGTAAGTAGATCACTCCTCTAGTGTAATAGAAAACTGTTAACTGTACTACTGATCAAATTTAGTGTTTATTTGAAGCTAGTCTTAAATTATCTAAGAAGTAAATGAAATTTGCCATCACAGTTAACTAAATTAAACAAGTATATAAAGTGCTGGATGCTTAAGAGTATGTCTTTTAACTCCTTTTCTGGAAAGTAAGTTAGAAAATAAGAACACTAAAGATAACTTTCAGAAGTCAATTAATTTGCTCATCAAAGTCAAAGTGATGAAACTGGTAGTTTTGTCCCAAGATAGGCAGTAACGTCTGAAGAACAAACAGAGCATGGAAATGACGCATCAAATGTAAAGAAAAGTTCCACTTTAAAGATCCAATATAATTTAAAATAAATACCATAATCCATAAAATAAAATGAACACTTTATAGGTTTTTTTTTTAAGTTTCTTGTATGGGGTTCACAGACCTGAGAATACATCCAAAATAACTCATCCAAAGTACTCCTTTAAAAAATTATAAATTATTGGTAACAGTTTCTTTAATGGAGATTGCCGGAGTAGGTCCCACATGAGTCCATATATAGCCCTTCTCTGGTCTTGTAGGAACAGTAGGGAAGGGAGATGATCGAGATTTGAAATATTCTGAAGGTGCATGACAAACAAATTCTAAATATTCCATTTTCCTTGGGAGGTCTTCTTCTGGTCCTAAGGAAAAAAAAAAAATCTTCAAAGAAAAAATTTCAAGGCATAAAATTGGAGTATCCAGGACTTAAAAATATCCAACAACAGCCAACCTACCTTAGAGAATGAGCCTTTTCAATCAATTACTTTGCTGCCAAAGTAGCCTCAAATACTAGGCAGGAAACGTCTACCTTTATTTTTGCCGTACTAATATTTTTTTCCTTTTTTTTTTTTTTTTCATTTGAAGAATTCAGTTATTTGAGTGAAATACTTTAGTTAATATATTTTAAATAGGTACTACTTGTGGCCTGCATGTCAAAAGGACTTCTGAATTATTAATCCTTTCATAATCAGTAGCAGAGCACTCTCTCTGTCACTGCTTGCATTTTAAGTATTTTAAGTAGCCAAGATGAAGATCAGCTAATTCAGGTTACTTTAAAAGAAACAGCTTGGCCTGGTATATCATGTTTATACTGTAATAAATTCTATGTATGGAGTAAGAATTTGATCCTTAAAGTTGCGAGACTGCAATTGTGCCTGTGAGCACAACTACTCAAATAATCACACTCACTGCAGCAGTGCTACTCAAAATATGTAAGGTAAACAAAAAAGGTTATTCAAGTACGTGAGATGCTTATGGGCTTAGGGTCTAAAACGTGGGGATTACCTAAAAGATCCTAACCAACTAAAAATTTTAATTTAAAAATTACAACTCTGCATTACTCTAAACACATATATGTAGTTGTATAAAATGAAGGCTTAGAGATTACCTATGATATAGGATGCTGGATCAAAACAATCTTTGGGGCTGGCTTGCGTAGGAATGAGCCAGGTTAGCGCAGCACTCTTTTCACAGTATTGGTCCTGAATAAACCCACGGATCTGAGCGTAGTACGTTTTTCCATCCTGCTCATCAACCACTGAAACAACATCTCCAATTTGGTAGTATACACCCTAGAAGACATACAAACGATAGTTAAATCAAACAATCTGATTTTAGAAGCTTCACTCTGTGATTCTGATTCATAAGTATCTAAGTATCGGTATCTTAAATTATCTCAAATTACCCCAATCTTGAAAGACAGCCTTAATTCAGCCACATGCAAAGGAACATTGGCGTACAACTGAATGCTGTCGCACCTAAGGAGTCATCAGCACTGCTTGTGCACAGTCACCCAGTGTCTAGGAGTCTTGAGTTCAGTGCCAGAATTGCTTTTGCGACTAGACAGGCAATTCCACATAGTCTCTGTCTGCCAAATGTCTCCGAAGCAACCTGGCCTCATCTGTCTTCAAAGACACAGCTCTCTCAGCTGCTCTACATCCCCCTCTCAAAGGGCTGCTACTCCTGTCTGTAGTGGGGGTGGTCTCACTCTGTCCCTAGAAGGCGACGCCACCACCTTCTAGAAAAAGTAACTGCAGTACTTTCCCTGTGTATGCAGGGAAAGCAGCTTTCTGTGTATGAAGAAGTTCACTCACTTGAATGCAAAGAAGTCCCAAAACACAGATCTACGTCGTGCAACCTTCCATGGTGCTCTGTAATGTGTGAGGCTGTGCAGCAAAGGCAACTCACTTGATGTTATAACAGCATCGCACAGCACAATGCAGTGCCTGCGCTATCAATACCAGAGTTTGCCAAGCATCATCGGGGGGGGGGGCATGTTTTTAAAATAGATTTAAAAGACCTCAAAAGACCCCAAACAATCCCCTTCTCAGCAACAGAGCAAAGTATCAAAATAGAAACATTTTGCATAAAGAGATCAGGTTAAATAAAATTTTTTACATAATCCTTAGGAATGTCTGAAAAAAACCCAAAAACATGCAAGAAAATACATCAATTCTCTTCCAAACTAGTCAACAGCAAACAGAGATTCTTCTGGGGTGCGAGACACAAAGCATCAGGTCTCTAGAGAGCATACAGAAGCTCAGCCTACCACTTCTCTGGCTATGCAGTCGCCCAGTGGCTACCCTGACCTTTTCTTTGGGGGAACGGCCATTTCAAATGGTTGGTTTGTACTACCAGAAAACAAAAGCAAATTTCAGAACTTCAAAACACTAACACCTTGGCATGCTGATAAAAATGCTCTCAAGCATGACTGTGAGAAGGCTGGCTTCTGCTTTCATTGCAATAGTCAACAGATCTTGTTCCCAGGGTGTTCGAGACTGCTTGCACCCAGCTCTGAAACAGGAGCCAGTTTAGATGTTAGGGCAGTGCAACCCATCCCCTCTGCAGGCAATATTCTCTGTACCTACGGTAGGAAACACCACATAAATTTAAACAGCTGTAGTCACTTTTGCTTGACTTCTGCATGGTGAAAAGGTTAGAGGTTTAAAAACCTCAATGGCAATAATTACTAAGGAAACAAGATGCATCTTTTTCTTGGAAGAAAAAAATCGGACAATGACAACTATATAAACTACTGCAGTAAACTGCCTTGCAAGACTTAACGGCAATGACGTAAGGCAGAGCAAAATTCTACACAACTGCTACGCAAGGAAGAACAATTTCTGCAAATACATCCCTAGTGTTTTCACTATCTGTGATAATTTTTGAAACTGGAAATAGAAACAGCAAGATTTTTTTTTTTTGCAAACAAATCTGCATAAACCATACCTTATAAAAGATTGATTCTGCTGTAATTATAGTGGATACAGACTCAGGAGCCTTGATGGGCTAAGAAAAGAACACAGAAATGGAAAATAAAGAGCGTTATAACAAACCAACCATATACTATAGCTCCAGGTTGTAGGTTTTTTTCTTGTTAGACAACATACTGATACATTGTCTTCTTAGAAAATTAGTAAACACGAGAAAAGGGGTGCAAACACTTCAAACATTTGTACTTCAAAACTGAAAAGAATAAAGTTCACATTTTCATTCTCATGATTTTAAGTGGAGAACCGAGTACTAAATTCACATGACTGGTTTCCACTTACACAGAACTCCTTCCCTCAAGAAAGGGGCCTGAAGGACTGGGTACTGTGCGGACCTGCCAAGCAGGCAGGCAGGCAGGCCTGCCCACGCTACGGAGGAACAAACCCACTCGACAGCGGTTACAATCGCGTCTTAACCGGGCTTCAGGATGAATTTGGGACAGGAGCTGCCAAACTCCGCGCTGGGGTCCAGTGCAACGGCACGGTGAAGCTGGCGGGGGCCGAGGCCCATGGGCCCGCCGTGGGGAGGCGTTTCTGCAGGGGACGAGACGGGGGCTCCGGATGTGCCCCACCCCGGCACAGGGCTACCCGCAGCCCGCCAAAAGTTCCCGTCCCGGCCGCAAAAAGCCCCCCACCACCTTACGTTTTTTAACTTAAAGATGTGCCTCCTCCCCTTGCCCTTCGTGGAAACCTTCTTCTCCGCGGCGGGCGCCGACTTGTACTTGGTGTTCCTCAGCCGCGCAGACCGCCGGTGGATTTCCTGCTTACTCTAGGGGGGAAATTACCTAATAAATACACGGAAGGGCGCTGTGCCGGATCGCGGGGTGGC